AGAAAAATGTATTACTTTGGTAAATTGTTTTATATAATGGCTTAGTTTGGTTAAAAATTCTTTAATTTGACCTATTTTGATTTGTTTTAGAATTTTAAAAAATTATTATAAAGGTATATTAAAATATTAAAACGTTCATTAATATTGTAATTTTATACATGTTATATAAAAAAAAAGATTGAAATTAAAAATTTGTTAAAAAGGAAAAGTATCCCTTTTTATATTAACTATAAAGAAAAATAGATCGATCAAGTTAAAACGAAGAGAGTATATATCTCTTGAGTGTGCATGTCTTATGTTAACATAGTGGAGTGGAGACGGAATTGATTACGATTAGTCAAGTCGATGATTTATTAGAAATATTCTTTAATTTTTTATTTTCATAATCAATTCACAATCTTGAAAATATATATCTTTTAAAGTGGTAATAAAAAAATTTATAGCTTGATTTAGGAATGGAGAAAATTTAACACGTCGCAATAGGTAATATTTATTTAAAAAATTTCTTCACTTTTTATAGACATTACTTACATGCATATAATAATCTCTAAACTAAGTTGATGTTATTTGAACTTTCAAGTAATAGAAATAACTCTTATGAGTATATTTTTCTATGAACTAAATTTTTGCTATGTATAAAACAATTTGAAAATAATATTAAAAATACACGATTTTATTTTAGGTAATACTTGTTTATTTTAAAAAATAATATTTTCACAACTCGATCTTCTGACCTCGTGACGATATTTATTGTTTGAAAGTCTGTTTTTTTTTCCTTCTTTACGAAGGATAGTGTCTTCATGTGAAAAAAGTGACGTTAGGATTATTTAGGCTGACTTTTTTGGGTAAACAAACAGAATGGGAGAAGACAAAGTGAAGATGGATGATGATGCTTTTCATAGTTGGATTTTTATTACACTCTCCGTTGCACAGGGAATAGTTTAGTTTAAATTGACACGATGTTAAAGAAAATAATTTCTTTTAAATTTTATGATTATAAATTCAAGTTATGTCAAAGGTACGAAATTAATCTTATGGCTTAAAACATGTCACGTGGAAAACTGAACTTAAAATATTAAAAAAAAATCATTCTTTTTGAATCACACTAAAAAAAATGAGATCAATTTTTTGTAAACTAAGAAAGTAAATAGATAGAGTTTTCCAAAAGTAACTTTTCCTACCGCTATATATATATATATATATATGTATATTTATATATATAGCTTCTTTTCATGTTTAAAATATGTGAGTATATAAAGTATTGGCATCTCTAATAAGAAGTTTAAAAAGCATTATTGTTGGGTTTTATTGAGTTAAATATTGTTGAGAGGTAAAGTAGATTTATTAAAGGTTATAACTCAAACACAAGTTATGAATCTAAACTTATTTTTCAAGTTTCAAGTGAAGTTTTGCAGAGTCAAACTCAAGATTTGACAATTTGAACTTTTCAATTTTAAGCTAATTGATGGGAAATTATTCTAGACAAACTTTTTTAAAAAAAA